ACCCTCCTATAGCAGTTGAGAGATCTTCCGTTGTCGGACTCTATCCACGTTTTTCCCGATCTCCAGGACTTCATGGAACCGAGCAAGTTCAGTAGCAATCTCCGCCCACTTCGTGCACGCCACGCCCATCTTTAAGACTTCTCGAAACCGAATCATGAGGACTTGTAGGAAACACTGTGGACTTCAAATCAGGCTCCGCCCATTGTGGGCGGGCCTCCGCTCGCGTCTGCGGATTTTTTCATTAAGCACCATTTTTTAGAGAACTCCCCGCACAGCCAAGGTGGGTCTCCCTGATTCATTCTGGCTTACCAATGCACACCTTTACCCACTTTTTCCCAGTTTCGAGGCTGTTTTGTGACTGAATTTGAAATCATGGTCGTCAGTACACTCATTTCGATGCACGCCACGCCCACTGTGGGCGGGGCTCCGCTTAGCTGATGTGTGTTTTTACTTCGTGAGACCTGGCCCACCCATCCCACACTTGACCCGGTCTCTCCAGGCGGATCCCGAGGAGCTAGGGAATTTCGTGACAGACAGACACCGTGACACACACACAGACAGATATAACGCATTATAATAGTAGGACACTTAACGCGACTTACTTCTTATGTGAACAGTGAATTTTTCCAGGTCCGCGCTGTCTTCTCTTGTCTTTAGCTTGAATGCTCTATTCGTCAAACCTGCTCAATCGATTGCGCCAGTCATTGTTGTGTACATATTAAACAACTACGGGTACAGTGTGAGTTTCACATCGAAACAAGAGCGAGACTTACTTCGCCATTCTTTCGATTTATTGGGCGGTTTCTTTCGTGGATCGAAAGTCTGTTTGCAGGATTATATTTTGAACGAAGCAGCCATCTAATGAACTTGCTGGTGCGATGCGTACAATCCTACTAGCAACACCTATTGTTCTTGGTGGACTACAGTACTACGTTTTCAAATCGTATTCTCTTAAGAATAAGCACGTCGTGAAACCAGAAGAAAACATTTAATCAGTGTTAACATACTCCTTGGTGATTGTAATCGCACATACCATCACTTGTGCATAACAGATTTTCCTACCGCTTAATATAGCTATGCCAACAGGACCTTTACAACTTGGGGTGAATATATATGATTATAGGAAAGCTCATTAATGCTAAATGTTTCGACTTCCACGAAATTTATTGTTCTACCAATTCGTACTGTAGATTTTCAGGTTTCAAACTTAAATCGAATTAGTTTTTCTGAAATGTTGTCTTCTCTCCTGTTATTTTGTGGATACTAACGGTTTTAGGCACAATGTTTCAATTCTTTTGGTATGCTTTCGTTTTCGGTCTTGGAGATGATTTTCACATCCACGACGATAAGTAGCTATCCATTTTTGTATTGAAATGAGAAGCCCTATATCATTTGGCATACCTCCAACTCTATTGCTGTGTATCTCAGAGTTGTCAAAACTCATAAAATTTAACCTTTTAGAATTTTATAGGTTGGCTGATTAATGCTTCATTATTTTTGTTTCAATTGAAGGTGATTTTAAGTAATTCTATTCACTTCCATGGCTGTTTTACTTGTATTGATGCGTGTTATACTGAAGATTCTTCATTTTAGGTTGGTGTGCTTTTATTGTTTTACAATGAAATATATCTGTTGAATAAATGTTGTTGCTTGGTGACCCGTAAATATTTTCCAGAGGTTCGTTAATACACCGATCCGAGCTACTGTGCATTGTCACGATAGACCCATTGTATCAGTCGGCCGCCGGGATTGAAGCCGGGCCTTTCTTCTTACGGTAGTTCTGGACATTGCTTTCACTAATATCTGGCCGAGTGGTATTTGATACTGTTTCTGTACATGAGAGCAACCTTTTCAATCCATCTCTACATATAATACTCGTTATTCCATCTTTGTGCTTCCACGTAAACCGGAGTGTCCCATTTTTCTGATTTGCCAGTGTTCTTGTAGGAAATGATAGGAGCATCACCGCTATCAGTAAGTAAGAGCTGGGCTAAGGAGTTGTTATGCATTTAGAAAAGCGCTTAGGATCCTGAAGCGAACAGTACTTTGCGGACGAACACTTCTGTTTCGTTGTTTGCTGGAAGACTGCAGGCGATTGTTGTGACACGAAAGCTCCACCGCACTTGGGCGCCCATTCAGACAGTTGCCCTGGCAATTCCATGTGTAAGACGGATTGAGTATACGCGTATTTCGTTCCGTTTTCAGATGCGCCACGCATTCTGCTTCCATAAGAACGTAGTCATTTTTATCGTAGTGATTCTGACTGCAACAATATGTGGAAGCCAGGTTATCTATAGTGAGCCTTCTTTATCTCAACAAACAATTCCGTTAGTGATTTTTCGATCGCCATTGGTTGAAAGGCTTGGGTAGGCCTGGGCGTGATCGAAGCAGGGACAGGACCAATCATACGCTTTGTAGGCAATGCCCATGTCACCTAAACTTCCGCTGAGGGGGGGGGGGGAGGGAAGAGTAAATGGTTCTCAACAAATCATAGCGAGGGTGTGGGTCGCTAGGAAAGAACTCGACTTTTTTGCTCTTCGCGCGAAGCTTGTTCCGCTTCGGAAACTCTAGTCCACCCCGATCGTTAGTAGACTCGGGGTTTCCGGCAGGAAATAAGCTTCGCGCTGTGAAAAACGAAAAAGGCGCCTTTTGTCTTAGTGACCCATACCCTCATAGCTAGGTTACACCGTAGACGCGACAGTAGAAGAGCTTCGCTGAGCATCATAGGACGCAGCGCTTAAATCCCGTTGCTATGGGTGCAGTATGATAGTAGTGTTTTTGTCTCCGGTTGGTGTTCACGATGCAGGTGACAAATCTTTACCTGCATGACGAATCTCAGGCGCGTGCGTTTGAAGGAACGGGCGTAATCATTTGATTGAGTTTCAATTTTGGAGCACCAAATGGTCGCTTCATTTAAGTACTTTGATAAGCAATGCCGGCAGCAGTGCGTGTCTTAACATAGCTTTTCCCCCTCTTTTCCTTCCTATTTCTTCTTCTCACGAGCTATAGATATTGTTACTCTTGCGCTAGCGGGGTCAAGAAGATTGCTACGCTTCATTCCTTGATGTAGCACGTTGGCACGCTCGCAAGATTCATTTTTTGGTACCAGATCAGGTGTTCCGTTCTGAACCTTTCAATTCTAATTGCATTGTCAAAGGCTTGGGTAATTTCACCAGCTCTTCATAGAAATCTTCGGCGCTCATGTCGTTAGAGGGACGTTGAAGTGAGTTAGCCTCTTTGAGTACTTGGGAATAAGCCTTAGGGAGGTGACGGTATTCTGGAAGAGGACGTGAGCAACCTTTGTTCTCCCTGGCGTTTCTCCCCTCTCCTGGCATAGTTCTAGTTTTGCCTACCAGCTGTTTCAAATGCACTGTTTTAGATGTCCCCCTAAGGACATGAATGCCGAATCCTCTCGTGAGTGAGGTAGCGGGATCCTCATACAAAAGAGTGATCGCGCTGTCGAACTCGAAAGTGCGTCATAAGGGCTTACCCGCTGCCTGCTTTCCCTTGACATGCGACTGCTCTATTTTTAGCTCTCGCAGCTTTCGTGGCTTCTGTGCCCTCTCGCACGAACGTGCGATTTTTTTACGTGCTGCTGCGTCGATATTCTCTTTCCCTCACCGCGCTAGTTTCTCTATGTCTTGCCACAGTCACGCTCCGAGAATAAGGCCATAGTTTGTGTTTTCTCATTTTCTTTGTTGTGTTTCTTCCTCATTGTGGTCCTTTTTGTTGCGCTCTTGTTCCACTGTTCGACGTGAAATAACCTCCAGGTTCTATCTAAGAACTTCCAAAAGGAGCAAACATATCTTGTGAAGCTATAATGCAATGTTTCCATTGTTATAATGAAATTTTTTTTTGAAAACACTCAACTGAGTTTCAGGTACCTGATATGATAAACTGCGTCAACTTTAGTAGTGGCAGATCATATACGGGCTGCTGTTCCATGCTCATTGCTCTCCCTTTCAATGATCCCCTTCGCCACCGTGTCCCCTCGGTATTGGAGCTGTGTCGTGGATTGTGCCAAAAAAAGTTACCCTGGTGAGCAAGGCAATATTCGAGCTTCAAATTCAATATTCAAGAAGTTATGGGATTATGTCATTGATTCAGGCTCTGGACAATACACTGTATAGAGCTTACATGAGGCTCTGCTTGTTTGTATTTGAAAACATCTCTGGAGTACAGGTAGGTCACTGCTATTTCTTCATTTCTTGGAACTTTTCATTTAATGCGTCAAGCTTCTATTGAAATAGTGGTCATGAATGGCGTGATCGCAGTCGAGCGCTCGGTGCCGGTTTTGATTGCAAAATAGTCCTTTATGCCTTGTTAGACAATGCCAGTTGCCATTCCATTGGGAATTTTTCGCGACGCATTCTCGGGCCATTTTTTCCTGTTCACATCCCGAAGGCTTTAAATCGTTGTGACTTTCGTTCGAAGAATTTTTTAAGCACGTTCGAAGAGAAATTATGATGAGCTGAGTGGCGCTGTTACCTTCATTAATGATGTCAAGCAGCCCATAAGTGCAGGGAATCTGCCGGCGCGCTGCAAGGATTCACGCGATCCTCACCAGCGACTGATCAGAGGCAGAATTAGGGTTCTGTTCCTCTTGCTTTCCACTGTTCTCTTGCTTAAGGGGTTGCTGGAGAATGAATGAGTGCTATACCTTCACTCTGGATTTCGTAGATCACTACACTGGCGTTATCTGTGACAGCCAGTGAGTGGCTCGATGAGCGCGACCAGCCATCTTCGCCTTAAAACAACGCTTCTGACAGCCAAGTTGTTTGCTCTCAGGAGTGTACTGAAGTGTCCAGTGCAGGTAATCCAGCAACACAACCAGAATCCATTAGCTTTCGCGCCCAAGGTTAGCTATACCCACGTACACGTGGAAGCCAAATAAAAGACTAACCTCCTTTCAATAAAGTTGAAATGACTTCCATCTTTTCAGATGAAACTATACGGTGACGTCAAGGAGCTAATGCGTGAACCTGAATGTGCTCTTGTTCTGTCAAACCACCAGAGTGATGGCAAGTTGTCTGGGTTATCAAATTCAGTCACTGATCAATTCATATTCTCCCCGGTTTCAGTAGATTGGGCAGTAGCAGTGATGTTGGCGGCGCGCCAAGGACCCCATGGTAACGAAGCCAGCTTTCGTGTCATGCTTAAGCATGTTATACACTTTGTACCGCTTTTTGGATGGTACGTTTTCCAGGTATGTGGTGAATTTCGGCTGATTATTACTTAACTAATAAATTCTAAGCAGAGCCACAAGGCCTGAGGTGGTGATGGTGGCACCAGGTGCTACGCGGGTGGTACTGTCTCAATGGCTCTTTGCGAAAGTGAATCTAAACAAAATACCTTGACAATTTTGTATTTGTATTTGTATTTTGAATCAACAGTTATTAAATAGCTGGCTCTTTGCAGTTATTTTGGAAGTCGTTTGAATGCTTCTAGCACGGTTACATATATGTTCGACGATACGGGGAGTTTTTGAGTACACCTGTGTTGAAACAGCTCGCTTGGTTGGACTCCATGAATGAGAAATTCTGGTTGCTCATTTTTCCGGAAGGAACGAGGTGAGAATTACAACTTACCTTATACCTGTTGATGCTTCTAGCCTTGCCTGCATGCTTTTCTTTTTGAAAGCTCATGAATAATTGAAAGATTCTGCAGGTATTCCCTTAAACGGAAAGATAGTATTCTTGCCAGCCAGGAGTTTTGCCGTAGAAAGGTAATGCATCGAGTTTTACGAAAATATTAATTTTGACTCGTTTTTGATTGTGCAACTTCACAGACGTAAAAATTCCACTGAAAGTTGTTGTATTGGTGAGACTTATTGATGGTAGGAAGGAAAAGAAATTTAAGAACTAATGATATTCGGGGAGTTATTCAAAGATCTTTTAGGGAATACCAGAATTCAAGAACGTTTTGAGCCCTCGCGTAGGAGGTATATTCATGTCTCTGGAGCGACTGGAAACCTTGGATGCGGTCTATGACGTCACTATCGGATATGGTCAGACGAGGTCGGTGAGCTCGACAAAATGTCATGTTACGATCCATGGGATGAGCATGGCTTCCGATTTTGATCTTCTGAATTCCGTTTGTAAGCCCATTAGAAGCGAGAACATCATCATCGTTTGTTGCTTACAACTTCTTCATGTGAAATACCACCCGTTATGATTGTCCTCCCGTGTCCTTATTTGGTACGGATTTGCTACTTCATCAACTACTGAGAAAGGGAAAAAGGGGGGGGGACCGGTTCATAGGTCTCGATAGGAGAGTAATGACTAGGCCCTACAGCATGCGGAAAAAATTGGAATGTACGAGCTAGTTGTAAGCTCAGCACCCTTATTTCTGAAGGTTTTTAGATACCTCTTTTCATCATCTTCAGTTAACGAATATGAAATGGTTAGTTAAGATTCAGGCGATAGTAGGCTCCCTCTGTGGGTAATTTTTTGAGATGGGATCCTTTCTTGATTGATTTCCCCGCCAAACATGAATTTCTTTATGGTGCAGAAATCGTCTTCAATGTCAACGTGTTGGACTTTTGAAGGCTACCGAAACGCCGTGGCCTCGCCCCGAATATGTTCGAATTCACCTGTGGCGGACCAGCCGGAAGGACGCTTAGTATCCATGTGAAGAGACATTCAGCGAAAGAGATGCGCGTGAGCCGTAAGGAACTGCAGGAGTGGACGATTAAAGCATATCAGGAGAAAGACAAGTGAGTGGCTCAGGCGAGACGGCCTATTTTCATCTCGAGTTCTTTTTTGTAGAGAAACCCAGTTCCGAGGCTGAGTAATGCGCGTTTAACAGAAAGTCAGTAGTTCGGCCGACGGCAGGCGCTTGTCGTGCTTGCAATCGCTCTCGGTCGAGCGATTGGCAAGCGATTGCGCAATGTGCACAAGCGACGGGCGATTGGCCCCGCCCCCAGTCAATGCAGTCGGCTGCGGTATCGATCGAGCAGAGCCATTGCCCGTCGCTTGTGCACTTTGCAAGCGATTGCCAATCGCTCGACCAAGAGCGATTGGCAAGCGACGGACAAGCGATGGAGCGATCGCGATCGCTCCATCGCTTGGTCCGTCGCCGACTATGACGTCGGTCTTAGCAGGAACGTTCAGTGTAGCGATACATGCTTCCATCGTTATCTAAAAATTAAGCTTTAACAGTCTGTTTCCACGGTAAAAATAGGGGACACGTCTTACCCTAATCGGCAAATTTAGTAGCTAACTTAGCGAGGCTTCGGAGAAATCGAATCGCATGTGCTTTTTGATGCTTCTGATGTATCTGATGCCACATATGTTAGTAGTAGTCCGCAATAACGAAATCTATCGCTTCCAGAAACAAAGAATTGCTGATTTGTCTTGTTTACTTGTAGACTGTTTTATTGGTGCTATGTGAAGGGAAAAGAAACTTTTTTTCAAGGAAAGGTCACCCTGTCATTACGGCCTTTCGAAATGAGATGTAGACCCATATTCGCACCGAGGCGCCAAATCAAAATCTTCTTCCGTTGTCTGCAACGATTCCCTGAAAATAGTTATTAAGCAGGAAAACGCAACGGTACCGACCCTGACTCACAGGCCGTGGGATCGACTCCAGTGTAGGTCCGTACGATTGTTTTTTTCAGAAATGGTGGCTCGAAAAGTTCATTCCATCCAGACGCGTCTTGCCTGTGTCAGGGCCTCTACCGCTGCGCAGTCCTGCTTCATAACTTCTTCAAACAGTTTTGGACTACCAGGGAAGGCATTCAACTTCCCATGGAACTTTGAGATGAGACCCAGATATATCGATAGAGCTTCAAACGCTGATTACAAATATGGAAACTAAACTGCAAAATGAACCTGCCAAGGAAGTTGTGAGCAGTCAAAGTTGGCTGGAAGTAAAGCATTACATATAGCCTATGCTAGCTTCGGGCTTTCAGAGTCACGTGGAGTAGTGGTAGTGCTCTCGCTCTCCAGCTGGTAGGTCGTGATTCTCTTCCCGTTGGAGTGCAAATTTCGAGAGCACTACCACTACTCCACGGCGACTTTGAATGCCCGGACGCTAGCACGGTTCATGTAACGCTTTACTTCCAGCCAACTTTGACTGCTCACAACTTCCTTGGCAGGTTCATTTTGCAGTTTTAGTTTCCATATTTGTAATCAGCGTTTGAAGCTCTATCGATATATCTGGGTCGATTCAAAGTTCCATGGGAAGTTGAATGCCTTTCCTGGTTAGCGTTTCGAGCAGGGTCAACCGTCTGTTCGCACTATTCGAACGAAGGGTCTCATATGCAGTTTTGTTAGGGGGATGGGGTTGCTTTGGGGTCGAGCAAAGTTAAGTGTCCCTAGGGAAAGTGAATGGGGGTCGTATTGTATAAGTTGAAGGGGTGGTAGAACGAGAGACTGGGTCCTTTTTGACGAGTTTTCCGATTTTGGTGAACTTTTCACGAAGGTAGATTGCCGTTTCATAGGATAAAGTGAGCAGAGTTGGGCTGTGCCGACTGGTTTCAGAATCAAATACTGTAGAAACAAGGCGAGGATAGCGATGGTGTAGGGGAGGAGGATCCTAAAGAGCCTCCTATGACTTGTGTTTTGGTGATGGGTCGCACCAAACCCCCCTTAAAGGAGGATAGGGTCGCAAAATTTCTGGAAGTGTGAGCGCAACAATTGCCCTGGTCCCGAGGCACGTATGAAGGTATGCATCTCATCTAAAATAATTAACCCTTCCTTTTCAGTGTGTTTTATTTCAGGCTTCTTGAGAGTTTCTACGAGACAGGAGAATTCCCAGATCCAGTGTCATTGAACGAGCCATCGGTGTCGATTTATCGAACCCTTCCACCAACGCTCTGCTTTGTCGCAGCACTTGTAGCACCTTTTTACGTGCCAGCTGTGAGAAAAGCTTATCTGTACACTGTGGCCAGTTTTCCGTTGCTTATTCTTTGGCTTGAAATAAGGAAATGTGCCTGAATAATTGTTCTATTGTTGTTTGTTCGTTGTTTATTGTTTGTCCAAGTTACAATAGTTGAGAGACCGTTCCTAGAACGTTAGAATAGACAGAATTTTACGCTGGATAGATCGATTGGATATATCCACTGAGGTTTCGTAATGCCTGATTTTTTATCCAATTTCATTCCAAGTAGGTAAACTCGGTGAATTTATTCAAATATTGTGATTTTGTAGGTTGAACAGGATGCAATTGAATAAGTGCAGTATGGTAAATGACTAAAATTTATCCTTTTTTTAAGATCTAGTTCTCTTCCATTTACGGATTTTGATGGACTAAAAGATCCCTTGTTTCCGCCTCTCAGCACATTCTTGTTGCTATAGTGTGCTATTTGAATATTCGTGTTATTCGTTCGAATTCATTATTTGTTAAGCATTCATGACTTTCGTTTGCCTTACAAACTGTGCATTAATTGACCAGCATTGATTTTGCTCTTTTTGTGTGACTGCCGCTGATTTGTTGGCTTTTCACTTACTTTTTGATGACATTGTCAAGCTTTATGAAATGGTCTAGAGTATAAGTTTTCAATAAGTGGACTGATGATGTTGCTCTATGTGGAGATGGCGGGGTCCCCCCCGGGAGGCCCGCCGCACGGCAAGAAGGCAGAGTCAGCGACGGGTCGCCGCGCGTAGGATTTTCCGTCAAGTTAATAGATTTAACACTGGCCCTACACCACCACCCCGCAAGCGCTGACTCGCCCGCCGACGCCTCTTGCCGCGCGGGCTTCCTGGGGGGGGGGGTAACCGGATATTTAGCGTGAGTCCACGGTGGGATCGCTACTAGGCTCAAATTTCGAGGTCGGCTATTCACATCCTTTTCTCTTTGGCAGCGAGGGATCTTCATAGGGTCGCCAATCTAGCGCCAACCAATCATCGACGTGGCGAGCATGACGGTACTGTGGAGTCTGCCAAAGCCGCCATAGTAGGCCAGCGTGCCCAGTAACGCTTTTCGATGTAGGGAGAGTAACAGCGACTCTGCGCTCAACTCAGCTTTCTACTCCCAATAAAGGCTCATTAAGCGGCGTCTGCGAGCCTGAACCTTTGCCTTTAATAGCAAAGTGAACATTATTTGGTCTGGAGGAAGTGACGTCTCGATGACGCCCATTCAAGCGTCATTGGTGGACAGGGCGTCTAATGGTAATAGCGTTCCTGACCCACGACCGCCTAAGTCACTAGTCCTCTAATTACCGTCCGATGCCAGCGTCCAAATCGGCTCAACTTTGCCAAAGTTGCTCAAGTGGTACGATTGGAAATTTCAGCACCTAATTAGTGCTGCGTCTTGCGACTAGGCGCCAGCTACCTGTGGGCGAGACGCGCCGTACATGTCCATAACGGTGCAAAAGATAGGCGGAAGGGAGGAAGGTGAATTCTCGTATGAACTCCTGTGAGCAAACCAAAATGAAATTGATGTCCATGTTTATATTATTACTACTTACTACTATTACTGCTTACTATTATCATTGTTATTATTATTCATTATCATTATTAGCCAGTATACGTTTTAGCTTGGTTAGGAAAATCAGTGAGCGAACACAAAAAAAAATCCAAAATATGTGTAAATCTCACAAGCAACTATATAGACTTCTTAGTTATGTATCTGGACATTCTTCTACAATACGAAGCAATTTGATCGGGGTGGTTTTCCTGGTAAACTTCGTCGAATCTGTAAAAAAAAAAGCCATGCTGTCCAAAAGGATTAATTTAGAAACTATCGAACTTTGCCATTTCTCCTCACAGAAGTCCCAGCCCTGTAGAATCCCCTGTACCCCGCAATCACGACGCATATGAGGTGTGAAGATTTCCTTGACTACCTAAACACTAATTGGCTAAGCGGGTCACTCAAAGGTATCTGGTGCAAGTGGGGTGTTAAGGAGTTGAGGACTACTAACATAATAATAATGAATAATTATAACAATGGTAATAATAATAATAGTAAGTAATAATAATAAATATGGAACATCAATTTTACTTTGATTTGTTCACAGGAGTCAGAAGATTGAAAAGTAGTAATAATGAATGAATAATCACATTTAAAATCACCTTCCTCCCTTCCGCCTATCTTTTGCACCGTTATGGACATGTACGGCGCGTCTCGCCCACAGGTAGCTGGCGCCTAGTCGCGAGGCAGCACTAATTAGGTGCCAAAATTTGAGGTCACTTCGCACCTCGTCGCGACGCAGCACTAATTAGGTGCTGAAATTTCCAATCGTACCACTTGAGACACACCCATTTCCCACTCATTCGTATAACTGGCTTAAGCCGTGTTTCAGCTGAAACTCTCAGAGCTGCTGAAACTCCGAAAATTGCGGAGTTTTTGAATTTCTCCATATTAGCTCAGTTTCGTTTTAGTTCCCAAAAGTTTGGTTTTTCTTTTCAAACAAAAATAGTGCCAATCCTAGCACGTATACCCCCCCCGCCCCTATAACTAACCATTTCCGAGCATGACAGTTTCTTGCCCATCCCTTCCAAATGATTCCAAACGGCATTGATTTTGCCATCGGCCTGTGGCGTCCTTTGCTGCGTAGTAGTTGATTTCAATGTCACGGTGTTGAACTCTTGAAGGTTACCGAACCGTCGCAACCTCCGGCCGAAAACCTTCCAACGTTGTCATGATGACAATGGATTGGTTGGAACTAAACGATGTTTGTATATATCCTGCTTGTCTTGACAGGAGTAAAGTGACAACAGCTGGAGCGCCCAAGCTGGGGCCGTAAAGCTTGTTGACAATGGTACCTATCATCCATGGTCAAAGTGAGATATTATCACAAAATCTTTAAAATTCATGAAATTCTACGGGGTCTTCAGACGTTTGAGATCATGTCTGTTTGAGTGGACACATGAACTCACTGCAGAAAAAAAAGAAAAAAAATGCGGCTTTGATGTCCATTCATCCAGCCAAAACTAACGCGTAAAACTGATCTCCCACTTTGAAGATTCTTGCGAGCGCGTCCTCGTGCGGAAATCCGCTTGCCCGCCTTCAGCATGCTTATGCTAGATACTATGAGCTTTTCGGGAACGCCTCCCAGATACTAGAGGAACAAGTAGAGAGAACCTAAAAAAAACCCGGTTGTCCGCAAAATTCCAGAGGGTGCTGCTTACGACCATGAACGCCACTCCAAAGATACTGCACCTTTCGCCTTTCTTCTCACCACCATCTACCTATGGACCAGTAGCTCGCTGACTAAAGGTGGATTTTACAAGGTGACGATGGTCAGTAATACCCGGAAAAAAGGAAAAACCGAGAAAATGACTAGAACCCGAGATATAGAATACCTTCCTTGCCCATTACAACCACAGCAGAGCAGTGCAGCGGGGCGGAATGAAGAAAAAACCATGAGAAATGGCCCGGAACCCGAGAAATGGAGCCCCCTTCCTTGCCTGTTAATTTGCACATTGATGGGACTCTCATCGGTGCTGCCCCCTTCAACGGTTCTCTCTGTTAAACGGCTCTATGGGAAAGCTAACCGGCGGCGCGGACGCGTTCGCGTGTTAGTGACGTCACTGCGGCGTTGAGGGAGCGAGTAAGATCCAGCACGATCCGCCATCAATACTTGCTGAATCCAGCACTTGTCGCGCTTTCCTTAGTTTCGATTGTACAAGACAGAAGTAGGAATCGAACTCCTAAGGGTTCGCACATGGAAGCCTCAACTTTCTCTACATTTTCAAAAAATTTCAATTCCTTTTGTGAGGATAATAGCTCTACATAACGCAAAATCAATTTCGCTCGCGCTACACACTGTTGACATGTACCTACGAAAAACCCGCGCCTCCCAGCGAAGGCAGCGTGCTGGCCACTGATTGCCCTCCTTTCGAGAGCCTGTCGTACTGTAAGACGCCCTTTTTACGTCTACACCGCATTGCTCAGTCGCCCGCGCACACCGTGAGCTTTCCCCCTCCTGTTAAACGGCCAGAGACTCAGACACGTGACAGAGGGAGTACTGCATCAATTGCGCGGCGGGGAAGGCCATGCTCGATTGCCGGGAGCCTATCATTCTATGCGAATTGCGTGTCGGTACGCACCTTTGGAGTTCGCCTGTCACTCGATATGCTAAGTTTCCTTATAGACTTGCCCTTAAAGTGGAATGTCAGGGAGAGACATGCATGCCTTAAGAGATCAGCTATGATCAGCTGATCTGAGCACGGTAGGTCGAGTAGGCGGTGGTTCTTGATCGTGGGTGGTCATGGGAGACCGCCTTGCCAGAGGCAACTGATTAATGGTGGGTTATGGGAAATGTGTGTGGAGAATACAGCACTGCAGAAATGTATAGATAGTTTAATGGTTTGACATTTTGATAGATTTTGTTGTTTTTGGTTTGATGGAATGTGTGCATGTTTGGTAGCCACGGCGCGTGGGGAGGTCCCAATAAAAGGGGTCCGGGTTCCTTTGCAGTACCTCCAGTTCCAGTTCCAGAGCTCCGGTGTCCAGAACTCTGGTGTTTCAGAATACAGTTTTCCACTGGCATCTGTGTGGTGCCTTAGAGGTACGATGGTTGTTACTGTACGCCGCAAAAAAGAGACCGGGCCTGGAAGTAGCCTTGTGGTGAAGTGATAACATACCTCCGTGTTTAGGTGGTTTGGCCCTAAGGAGATTGCGCGCCGTGCACCACTGGTTGCTGCAGTCGCTCAGTGGTCGATCCAGCTTCGCCCACCTGTCTAATCTGTGATCTTTGCTTGTTTATTCTCCGTGTCCTTTGTTGATTTTCTTGATCTGATACACGCCTCCTTATCTAACTTGTCATCAAGCCCAGTTAGTAGGGTTACTTTCCGGTCGCAGCCGACCTTCCCTATAGTTATAGTGGAATCCTCCGTTATCTGGGATTTTTGACGAAACTTGTTAACAAACTTTATTCATAGCTGAACAAATATACAAGTGTACAGCATGTATTTGCGTAGTTAACAACACTGGTCTAGCGAAAGTATAAAGGAAAACGAAGCAAATGGATAGGAACAGGCTAGAGCGTCCA